AAATACTGTTATGAAATATACTAATATATAGTATATATATATATTATAGTATATATTATATATATATAATAATATATAATATAGTATATATTATATATATATATAATAATATATAATATATTAATATACTAATATTTTAATATATATANTATATTATATTATATTATATATATTATTATTATATATAATATAATATAATAATATATTTAATTATAATATAATATTTTAATATATATATATATATATATATATATATATATATATATATATATATATATATAATATACTAATATACTAATATATATTGTTATGAAATATACACTTTAAAAAGGATACCAAATGCATTTCATGCATTTATAATAAAAATGAGCGACTGAAGTATAAAACAGAAAAAGAATTTAACGAATTCAAGGTTATTGATACATTCCTTTCAGCTTATTAAAACTATTGAAGGAGGAAAGAAATTTCTATTTGGCTTTTGTTTTTGTTTTTTTGAAAACGATGCAGAAAATTTTGATTTCGCATAAAAATCCGCAGTCTAGTTGTGTGTTGCCAGACTGGGAATTATTATGCAAAATAAAAATTACCTGCACCAATTATGTAAAACAAAAGTTAAATAATAATGTACATGTTCTTTAAATCGATTCAATAATTCAGAAAAACATTGTGTCAAGATATTCTGTCGTTCTGGTGATTCACTTATATTATTTCACTTGCACCGACTCTTTCAATTTACGAATTTTGCTAATGCTCGGATTAGCGTAATTCAAGCCGGTGTAGAATTCTATTGGATTCTATGTATATTTTACCGTTCTGGAAAAGAGAAATTAGCATGAACAAGATCCGCAATCTGCTTACGAGCGTATCTATTAACTTACACGCAATTACGCGGAACTGAATATTATACGGCAACATATTTCACCTGAAATTACACGCGACGCGCTCTCCGGGGCGAAGAGCTTCGCCACGCACAGCATCCGTGCGTAATCTAAATCTGTAAGCCGGCATCAGTTTTTTCAAGGTTCGTTTATCTCGGCGGAACACCGTGTGTCCCAGAATGTTAGCATAATTTCAAATTAACCGATCGCTCCGATTACGAAAACCGTCTTATCGGAACAGGTGCAGCAACGAATTGTTTATTTGCTAGCATTCCGTGGTAAGAAACAGTCGCGATTTTAAAGTTTCTTATGGGGAAGAAGAAACAGGATGTTTTATACAAGGTGTGGCATTTAAATCTATTCAAATGAGTAGCTTCGATTTCCACAAGGTATTGCAGTTCATACTTTGGAAATATCGAATGTATGTGGAGTGACCGAAATATATTACAAGAAGTACAATTAAATTGTACATATTACAGTTACATTGTACGTCTTATAATTATACTGTACATATTACGATTACATTGTACATCTTATAATTACGTTGTACATATTATAATTACATTGTAAATCTTACAATTACATTGTGCATATTACAATTACATTGTGCATATTATAATTACATTGTACATATTACAATTACATTGTACATCTTACAATTACATTGTACATCTTAAAATTACACCGTATATATTACAATTACATTGTGCATATTACAATTACATTGTGCATATTATAATTACATTGTACATATTACAATTACATTGTACATCTTACAATTACATTGTACATCTTAAAATTACACCGTATATATTACAATTACATTGTGCATATTACAATTACATTGTGCATATTATAATTACATTGTACATATTACAATTACATTGTACATCTTACAATTACATTGTACATCTTAAAATTACACCGTATATATTACAATTACATTGTGCATATTACAATTACATTGTGCATATTATAATTACATTGTACATATTACAATTACATTGTACATCTTACAATTACATTGTGCATGTTATAATTACATTGTACGTATTACAGTTACATTGTACATATTACAACTACATTGTATCACAATTACGTTGTATTTCGATTACATTATGTTCCAATCGCATTGTATCCGAATCACGGCGGCGATCGAAATAATTGGCAATCGATTTAACCGAAAGTTGTTTAAATCTAATTAAATTACGACGTGGTCGACTTACCACGTAATTGAAACACGGTGTAATTAAATTGCGAAATTGTATTAAGACGTAATTGAATTAGCAGAACTCTGACCACCGGTGCAACGACTAGGAGGAAAGTTACCGTGCACAAATGAACAGGTCTTGGCATTCCGAGTTTTCTATCGGCGACACGTGCGCGGCAGCCGCAAATCATCCTCGGCCGTGCTTTCTAACGACACCAAAAGCCGCAGCGGAGCTCTCGGCGCAGGAGAAATTCTGTCGAGATCAGTTTTTCCACGGCCGGCTCGGTCGCTCGGACGTTTTTCTATCGGGCGACGTTGATCCTTGCGCGCTTTCCAGAAATTCGGGTCGCTGTCCCGCACCGCGCGCCGCCAGGTGAAACGAGCGGCTCGTTCCCCGGGCCTACCTGTCGCGCAGAAGTCATGACTGACGACGCGCTTACCGGCGCGAGAAATGTGCTCGGCTCCGAGGAAAGTTAACGCCGTGTTTACCGCGGGAGAAATGTTTGTCACCGATCGACGGCCAAACAAACGGTTGTTTTGTCGCGCACGTTCGATAAAGTCACTTTCCAGGGGCTGTTGCTTTACGGGGAAACTTACGATTGTGGATGTCGATTTTGAAACCTGGGTGGATTCAAGTATATACTAAATTCTATTTATGTGTAATGTAATATAATATATGTTATATAATATAATAATATAATATAATATATATATAATATAATAATAATAATATATATAATAATATAATAATATGTAATGTAATATATATTGTATATGTATATACATATGTATACATACGTAATACTAAAAGATCCTAATAGGATTTTAGAATTATATAAATATATATACAGGGTGTGTCCCAAAAATGTCTCGCAATCCGGAAATGGCGGGTTCCCCAGATCATTTGAAGCAACTTCTTCCTTTACAAAAATTTTCTCCGATGCACCGTTAACGAGTTATTAACGAAAAACAGTGACCAATAAGAATCGAGTACGGCTGACGCGAGGCGGCCCAGCCAACCAGCGCGCGAAGCCCAGTTCCGCTCATTGGCTCGGTCGCCTCGCGCCAGCTGAGCTCGCCTCTCATTGGTCACTGTTTTTCGTTAATAACTCGTTAATGGTGCCTCGGAGGGAATTTTTGTAAAGCAAAAAATTGCTTCGAATGACCTGAGGAACCCGCCACTTTCGGATTGCGAGACATTTTTGGGACACCCTGTATGCATGTATGTATGTATACATACACGTGAACATACTTGATCAAGTGTATGTATATACTAAGTATCAAGTATATACATACGTAATACTAAAGACCCTAATAAGATTTTTCAAAATCCGCTCTCCTTTTTGAGATATTTTGATTTGAAGTTTGGAACTCGAAATCTATGAAACTTGAACTATTGAAGCTTGAACTGGACAATTAGGGAAGAGGAGATACGATTACAGTAAATTCTTCGAAATTCCTCGTCCCAGCTTGGAAACAAAAAAATGGACAATTGGGGAAGAGGAGATACTCCAGTAAATTCTCCAAAATTGCCTCCCAGCTTGGAAATAAAAACGAACAGTTTGAGAAAAGGAGATACGATTACAGTGAATTCCCCCGAATTGTTCTTCAACTTCTAAACAAAAGTTGTCAATTTGGTAAGGGGAGATACGATTATTTATAATAATTGTTGACAATCAGCGACTATAAAATAATGTAAAAAATAATATTCGTGTCTCCTCTACCTAAATTGTACAGTCTTGTTTACAAGCCGAGGGACAATTGGAGAGAATTTATTGTATCTCGTAGCTTTTTTTATTTAAAGATAATAATATTAATTATGGCTGATTCTCTGGAAGCTCCTATTGAAAAATGATTGCATAAAACACTTCGGGGAAGTTCATTTCTCAGGCCATGTTTTTTTTAAACGTGAGAGGATCATTATAAAAAACAGCTTATTCAACACTCATTCAAACAAGAAAAAGTGTTTCCATTTACATTTGTTTGGAGAAATCGTCTAAAAAATTGGTTTTAATTAATACCACCGATTTTATGAATAGTTTTTTAAAACTCAAAAAATGGAATGTTCAATATAAAAACTTCATCTCAACGTATACAAAAATATTTTTATGTAAAAAATTGAACATTCAAGGACATACACCGAACTTCTTCGTTTTTGCACTTTCATATAACAAAACAAAAATATGGCGTTGCATTTGGAATACATAAGATGACCTCGGTTGTGACCTTGGAAAATTGATGACAAAGAGATTTGTTTGTTGAAATTTTATGCGGAAAATAATGCCGAAAGTGTTGCAAATATGTATTGCGTGTGGAATAATAAAAGTTGGATAATGAAAAGTTTAGTAATATGTTTGGTTAACCCCTTAATGCACAATTTAAAAAAAAAAACCGACCAAAAAAAATCAATTTTTTTTATCTAAGAAAATACATATTTGGACCTTAATTTCAATAAATATGTAAAAAAAATGTAAAAATTACTAAAAATTCAATAAAAATAGTGGATAAATAATTATAGTGAATATTGAATCGCATTGCAGATCGAATTTTGTACCCATCGTACTGTTTTTCAATTAATATAGGTAACATAACATAAGTTGCGACGCCGACCGTATATATACGGGTCTGCACATTTTGGCCGGTTTTGCACGCCCGTGTTAATACGTTTCTGCGCGTTAAGGGGTTAAAGATTGATCATGATTTTGTATTTATGTTGACAGTACGCCGATGATGGATCTACTTGTGCAGATAGCAACGGCTCACAAGTTGACAGCCTCTAGTTACACACTGCAAGCGATAGGAGAGCGTGGTAGGGTTCTACCTCATCAACCGAATACACCTATCGGTGCATTGGATGCACTTCAGGTAAACATTAAAATAGAATTTAGAAAACAAATATTTATTATTATCTTCGTTCGAGCCGTTTATTTTGAAAGTGGCATAAGTCACTTTACCGTAATGAAAAGTGGTGATTTTTTCATGTTTATACGAAATTATTTATACTGAGAAAAATATCAGTATCCTGAGATAACAAATACAAGTAAATCTTCTCGAAAGTTAGCATCCATATTTTTAAACGTGTTAAAACGCAAACCCTTAAATATATCGACTTAAAAACAAAGTGACTTATGCCACTTTCAAAATAAACGGCCCATTTCAGTCTCGCAAATATGTTTGGACTGGTTTACTGATATTTTCGAATTTCTTGAGTAATAATTTCACGATATCTGTTACTAAGCTGAAAATAGTCACGTATTTATAACTTACCATGAATTAAGAATG